TACCTAAACCGCAACTTATCCCAAAACCTACCTTAACCCTTGTTGCTAAACCGCTTAAAACCCTAAGTTGGTTTGAATATGATGATGTGTTTATGATTCATGTTTGTTTATGATGTAACGAATTATGATTCATCGGTTATACATGAATGTCGTGGTTAGATGCTATGCAAAAGTTTATCAAAATCCGTGACACTAGAATTCTTTCGTTAGTTCATTGTTCACTCGTTTAAACCGATCATGATGGTAAATGTTCAAACATTTTTGCATCCACAAAAAAATCATCATTCATACGCACAATCGTACCATTTAACACGGCTATCTTACATTCATCTCATTTAGCATGACTATCGTTCACTCATCTCAGTTAGCAACATGTCACAATTTAACCATGATAAGTCAAGGATTCTCTAAAGTTGCTCATTCACAAGGATAAAGTCAACCTTTGAGTACAAGTTCCAAGGTTGTGCTCGTTACGGAGTTCATTCTAGAAGCAATTTGATGACACCAAAAGAAGGTCAACCATATATGAAGAAATGAAATGACAAGTTGCCATGTTCACGAGAAGTTTGTCAAAAATTCAAAGAATAAGCCAATTGTCCAAACTTCAACGACAACCCACGATAAGTTTGTCGAAAACTCAAAGAAGAAGCCAATTGTCCATACATCGACAATGACCCATTGACCACTCATGGGTATTAGTTGGCACGCTGCAAGACGAAGCTCTATTAAATAATGATGTCAATCCTCAGGAGCAAATGAGCATGAATGCGTATTATCTTATGTATCAAACAATCTCCTTCATACTAAAGAATAAATAGTTATTTGCATTTCCAGCTATTTGGAATATTGTGTGATTGCTACCAATCTTGATTTAGATGTTTGCATCAATGGTCCTTCTCTTTTCAAAATGAGGAGCATGTTTTCCAAAAACTTCAAGATTACCTTGTTTTCTCTAAAATGAGAACCATAAAAATGCATTTCATGTTTTCAAGTAAAGCCATGAGATTTTCATATTAAGCAACCATAAGCACCCCACTGGTGCTGAGTGTTTATAAACACTGTACTGGTGTCCAGAATTTGAGCCACCCACTTATGTTGAGAGTATGCACACTTTGCTAGAGTTGAGAGAATAACACCCCACTGGTGTCCACAAATTATGTGAGCTAAATAGTCAAAGGGTGCAACGAGGATATGAGACTAGGCTACTTGTAGAATCTTGTCACTATCCATAACCGATATAGGTTGTGTATTTCGAATTATGGCCTACAAGAAGCGTGATGCCGACATTATAAAAGCCAAGTTCTGACAAAACCCTCATCGGGGCACGCATAGAATCCACATCATCTGTTGAGGCTAAAGAGAAAAATGTCTCATTGCCATCCAATGTTTACACGCATAAATCTAACCTGAGAGGAGGCATTTAACCTGACGTCATGAGTATCACTTCCTCAAGAAAGGGATAGCCAGTAGCCCATACGACAAGAAAAAATCACTCACGTCGGCAAATTTTTAACATTTTGATGCTCAAGTCAAAATGACAGCATCAGCATGTATGGGGCATAACAACATTAATTAAGTCCCACAAAAATTAAAAGGAAAAAAGAAGCCAAAATGGCAAAAAAAAAAAAAAATTCAAAACAAAGAAAAAGAAAAATTGTGGGACTTACATATTAGATGCCCATACACGAGCGCTTGAAGCTACAATCACTCAAACTCGTCGCAAACGACCGACTACCTTTGCAAAGAGGCAAAAAAGGCGATCCCAAGTTTAATGTCGATATGGTCACAAGAGTTCAATATTGGACAAATATCTCAATCAGGATATACTCAAGCGGAGCTAGCCATCAAGTTAACCAGCTTTCCAGATCAAAGAATGCTTGCCTCTCAAGCATGAGGAAATAGCGCAAAGAATCCGTAATGAGAAGGGTTCGTAAGATGAGAATATCAGCATACGCTTAAATTACACCCCCATGATGATCCCTATTATCCAATTCTTTCTAGTAAAAGAAGAACCCCCATGATAATAAGACTTGGCAATCGCCACATAAAGGCCTTCAACACTCATCATTCTGAGAGCCAATGAGAATTCGAAGCATGTATCGTACCAAGACCTCTTTTATCCATCCTTTCAAGTGAAAATAAGGACCTCAGAAAATGAGAAGATTTCTGCTCAAATTACCTCAATTACTTAATCGAGCTTACCTCCCAAAACCAAATTTCTAGACAATGGGGCAACTTGAGTGAAGAAATGTCCACACAAAGATACCCAAGATAGCCACCATTCGCAAGGAAAATGAGATATCCTCAATAAAGATCTCATATATCGATCAGCCAGCTTCATACTTTGGGGGCAAGTCAGAATCCCTCAGCAGGAAACTTTAGAAAATGAAGGATGTGAGACTCATTTATCCATCATTTATTCGAGAAGTTCAGCTTCCCAAAACATAAGGACTCCTACGTACAAGAGCCTCCTTCCATGAAAGTTCTAGAAATCACATGACGGGGCTATATTGAGGTCACCTGAACTCTCCATGATCAACAATCCTATACCTCAAGCACATTTGTCCCCCAACATGGTGACAAGAATCTTGATAGTAGCTGAAGTATCGTAAACTCGACGCACCCATAGGATTGAGTGAGAGTGAAACTGAGAGTGAGAATGAGAACGAGGGCTTATGAATATTCTCATGGCTTGGCTTATGAAAAAAACTTTTTAAACAATGTGGCAATAACCACACAAGAAATCTTTTTCTCATGTTGCACACACTTTTCCTCAAGTGAGGCTTTGATTTCTAAAATTGAGTTCCCATTATACTTTTTCAAAATGAGATTTTTCAAACATTGTTTGCAATCTTCTTAAGTCAAGATTGGTAAAAGTTGCACCTTTGTTCCGAAGAACAGAAGGCAAAGAACATATTCTCAAGGGCAAGATAGTGCCACTGAAAAAGTGGTTATCCAAACCCCTCAAATCATGATTAGACGGGAAACCTCATTGATCTTGAATCATTTGTTCCAGCTACCCAATCTGTCAATCAAACTATCCTTCAACTAAATTTTTTTTTACCTCATACCTCTCGGCGAAATCAATCAAGCATGTCTAGAAACCGACATCAACAAGACAATACCCCGAGATGAAAATTCCTCTTAGCCAAGCATGACATACTCGCATAGCAAGAATATCAATCATACTAAAAGAGCACGTTATCCAAGGCCACCATGCTACAAATGCCTCCTACAAAATCAACCTACCAGTAAGAAGATTGTATGGCTAAGACATCAGCCACTCAAGCACCGAGGTCCAAGGTGGAGAAAGCAGAGGACCAACCTTTTATTAGTCCCCAAAATGGCATGCATTGGGCTCATTGAGGAGACAAAGAGGAAACACTATATGGCAAGCCCAATACCTCGAGATGATGACTCACACTCGAAGGAAGAAAGTACCTACCGGAGACACCCATGCTGCTCCAGCGCGAGCACAACCAAGGAGAAAGTTCACTAAAAGAATGACGTAGTTCCTTGTGGATGATCGGTTTAAGAGAATCCATGAAAAAATATCAAGACCATGATTAGGGATTATGCTCTTCCCTTTGCATACCCTTCAAGATATCATCATAGAACCTTTTTCAAATGCACTTTACATACATCATACAACATCATTCTCAAATGCACTTCAAACTAATCATATGACATCATTAGATAGCTAATCTCAAGAAATTAATAGCCAAAGTGAACATCAATAATTTTCAAAGTTCACTTAAAGTGAAAGAACATTTTCATCAACATATCTCATCATGACATTGCATCATATCATATAATCATACATTTGACATCACATACAAACTTTATAAAGTTCAAGTTCGAGACCAATCTGAATTTCATCTAGAATTTCTCAATTGGTTGCTTTAACATTTCTTATCAAACATACAACTTCATGTCACCTATGATTAAGGTTTCAAAAAAATCTGCATATCCTCAAACATAAGAAGGCTACACTGCGAAGAAGGCTACACAGCGAAGAAAGCTACATTGCGAGGGAAACCAGTTAGTACCCACAAGAAGGCTACACTGCAAGGGAGCTAATCAGGACCCATAAGAAGGCTACACTGCGAAGAAGGCTACACTGCGAGGGAACCAATTAGAACCCACAAGTCGGCTACACTGCGAGGGAGCTAATAAGGACCCACTAGAAGGCTACACTGCGAAGAAAGCTACATTGCGAGGGAAATTAATTAACACCCACAAGAAGGCTACACTGCCAGGGAGTGAATCAGAACCCACTAGAAGGCTACACTGCGAAGGATGGCTACACTACATGAGGGAATCTAGTTGGCACCTACATCTAGGCTACACTGCCAAGGAGCTAATCAGTACTCTTTAACACAATTACACCACGAAGAAGGCTACCCTACGAAGGAACCCAATTAGCACCCACAAGTCAGCTACACTGCGAGGGAGCTAATCATGACTCATAACATGGTTACACTGCGAAGGATAACCACACTATGAAGGAAGCTAATCAACATCCTATGTTGGTTGTACATGGGAGTTGATCAATAACCTCAATTCTCATTATACCTCAAGAAAGTCGGTAAGAGCACCAAACTATAAATAATCACGACGCTACTAATAAACCGGCCAAAAATTGTGTGATATGTACTTTGTATACCTCTAAAATACCAAGAGATATACAAAGTGGGGGCAACTGTAGACACCACTTTTTGTCCGGGTTAAAACATATTTAACTAATTAAAATTAAACTTTTTGTTTGGGATTTGCAATAGCGAATTTCTACCTAAAATGAATTTATAGTGTTTGGGATGGATCATCACTTTGCCTCAATTGAGATTAAGCAATAGCAAATTTCGATTTATGCATTTTGATAGTGACTAGTTGGCGTGGTTATGGTTATACAAAAGTGGTTATGGTTATACAAAGTAAGCTTGAGTTTGATTTTGGTTGTCATGCATGTTACTGTTAATCGATCCCTAAAACATCAGGTGTTATGAGAATTGGGCCTCAATTTCTAAATAATAATATAGAAGTCATAACAATTTTATCAAGATAAATACAATACATAAGAATTACAATTAATTACAATGCTAAATTGCTATTACATTACACTAATTACAATGGTACAATATAAGAATTTAGGCCCAAGTCAAACCCCAACCAAAAAATTCAACAGTCAATGAAAGTCAACGAAAGTCAAACCACACAGCCAGGCCTGGTCCAACCAATGACCCAAACCCGATCAGACGAGAGTGGGTACTGTAGCTTGCTTGCTGCCTAAGCATCCTCTTTCTATAAAAAGAGCCCTTTGGGCACTTACAAAGGGGGTGGACTTCTTTTCGTTGTTCTTCTTCGTCCTCTCAGGGGATCGATTCTCCTTGTTCTTCTTCAACTTCTTCTCTTCCCTTCTCTTTCAAATAAAAACACAGTAGAGAAACTCTGCAAAAACCTCCCACTTCCTTCCCTTCTTACACAGATGAACACCACAGAAAACAAAGCAAAAAAAACAGGGGACTTCCTACTTCGAGCTTCTTCCCTTCTCCTTTCCCAAGCTTCCTGCCAGGGGACACTTCACGGCCAACTCCTTTCTTCCTCTTCTACTTCTTCCTTCCTCAACAGACCTCTCTCCTGCAAGATACACAAAAAACAGACTCACTTTCCAAAAAAACCACAACTCCCTTTCCTCTTCCTCACAAAAACAAACACACACGGACAGAGAGCTAGAGGAAAATTCTCTACCACCTTTTCCTTCTTCGAGCCACATACAACCCACAAACCAGCAGTCAAAAAAATAGAAAAGCAATAACAACCACCACCAGAAAACTCAAGAAAGGAAAGGAAGCAGCAATCAGAACTCCACAGAAGTAAAGAAGAAAGCAGCTCTAACCACACCAGTCTACAAACAAAAGGTTGGTAGCTCCAACTTCTCCTACCTATGTGAAGTTTTTCTCTTATCAAAAGAAACTTAATCAACTCCATTCTAGCAGCAGGCTGATTTTGTTTAAAAGAGGAACATATTCGATCTACCCCAAGCAAATCACAATTTGACTACTATCATCTAATTATTATTATCGTTGTACTTTATCAGTTCCTTTCACATTCAGGCAATTCACCACTACCATCATCCACTTGTATACATTCATCTTTCTATTTCAGTCCCTTTTTCCATTTAAGCACTTACCATTATCATCATACTTGTATTTATTTGTCTACTCTTTCTATTGCTATAAACTACATATAGCTTACAAGTATTTTCGTTCAAGTTAGCTAATGCATATGAGTACAGTTACTAATGATCTGCTAATACTAAGATAATAGTATTGTTTCATTTATCATCTCATTTGCACTTCCACCATATTAGCATGAAATTCCATCATTACATACGTAAGCAAAACAATGCTAAAACCACTAATAAATCACGGAATAGAATGCAGAAAGAAACAGGCAATACTCCCGATCGCCACTCAAATTTCAAAATTCAAAGCATCATGAACACCATAAACTTATAATCTAAACCCACTTTACCAAAACCATAAACACTCGTAGAGAGCATAATCTCAAACCAAGACTAGCAACTAACATGGTTTCTCAAATTATAGTCCAAAACCAACCCCAAACCAAACACCATTATCACAAAGCTAATTTCCAGATTCACACTTACACGTACCATCAATCCCCAAATTTAAACCCATAATACACAACGATACAGATATGTAAACCCATTTTTAAACCACTAGAAAGGAAATCTTACGCTTACAAACAACCCTATTCGCAAAAAAACAGTTATAAGCACAAACTTCCAAAACCAAAACTTTCCACCACAAACGCTTCTATAACCAAAAGTACAAACCACAAACCGAATTTCCAGGTTATTAAGCCCCATCACCAACCATAAACGCAGAAATCCCAGCACTACCATAAAACCTCATATTTCCATATTCAGACCCACAATCTATCACAAAAATACCAACTTTCTGGAGTTCCATACCATGAAAAGAAATTTTCAGGACTATAAACCACCACTAGCGAATCAAACCCAGCTAAGAAACGACCCAGAGAAACAAAAGCTTACCAAAACAAAGTTCACTCATCTTGTCTTTGTCGCCGCCGGAGAAGCTCAGAGCTGCCGTTGTTGACCCTCTTTCCTTCCTTCGCCCTTTCCTCGTCCCCCTTCCACCAAAACCCAAAAAAGGGAGCGAAATCAGAATCAAATCGAAGAGTAAATAAACCAAAAATTAAAAAGAGGGGTCGAAACCCTCACCCGTCACTGCCAGGCCTCTGTCGTGCCACCTTATTACCTTCGCCGCCGTCGATCGCCATGGCCGATGTCCACTACTGTCGCTTCTTCCTGCCCCGTCCTTTTGCTCTCCTTCCTTGCTCCTCATCATTCACTAGAACGTAGGGAGAAGAAGAGGGTCGATTGATAGGCGAAAAGAAGTAAGAGGGAGAGAGGCAATGGTTTAGTCCGATCGAGAGGAGGACTAGGGTTCAGTTTTTGCTCGTCATTTGGAGGGAACAGTTGGAAATGGAGAGAGTGAAGGAGAGGCTGAGCGGCGCCGAGTTTCATATAGGTTAGGACTTAGGGTTTCGTTTGTTTTGTTAGACAGGTTTATATGCCTTGTGTTGCTAATTGGCTAAAATGCCCCTTCAATTTCGTTTTATTTACCCGTTGCCATCTTAAACAAAGACAAAAAAAAAAAAAGTTTCATGGATCAAGAGTTGTACCTGTATAGGTCTCACCAGTTAGGCTACACGCCTAATATATATAAGGAAACAATTTCGTTTTTATTTATCTCTTAAACCTTCTTAATACGAAAACTAAACATGTTTGAATCCTTCGTTTAGGTTTAGTCCGATTACTCAAATACTCGAGGAGCATTAATTTTTGGACTCTTAGGGGTTATTGAGTTTGGTATCCCTTCGTATTTATTTTTCCTAAAAAAACAATTCTTCATACAGAATCATAGTCAATAGGCTGTGGTAATCTCTCAAATTAAAATTCATTCAAAAATCCAATAATCATCCAATTACAAAATAAAAATATCAAAAATACATTTCATAACAACTCAAATTATTATCTTATTCACGATCAATAGAACGTGGTAAGATCACGCCATGAATCTACCAATTATAATCGAACTACGTGGACTTTGATCCCGACTACTCGGGTACGTAGGCAACCAATAGGTTCGAGTCCAACTAACCAAAAACTCTTTCTTTAATTTTGAGAATTACGTCAATAGACGTATGATCAAATATTAATAACTATCTAATTAATCAAATCATATAATTGAATACACAAATAAGGCGAAATTTATAATACACCCAACCTTAAAAAGCTTATCGATTTAAGTAGTACCCATTATGGGGCGTTGTGGGGTGTGAATACACTTCCCCACATGTAACCGTACTCCCGAACCTAGTAAAATCTAAAATTCGCAGACCGAATCTCGGTTCTGACCCTAAGGTTAGGAACCGGACCAAAAGGTGTTCGATCCACCATATAAACACGGTCGATGGCGACTCCGAGCGTGTCGCGACGTGGTCCCCCGATCTGTGAGGGGGCGGTTGCGACAGTGGCGACTCCGCTGGGGAAATTTGAGAGTCGAGCTATATTATTTATATCGATAAGTTTTCTTTCTATCTTTGATTTGTTGGGTGTTTACTTTCTCTATTTGCGAATTTAATTTATATTGCATTTAATTATTTGCATTCATTCATTAAAGCTCTATACCCGAGCTGTCCTTATAGAAAAAAGGAAGAAAGTACCGTGACTCCTACAATAGTAGGGGAAATGCGAAAACTTCCCAACCAGGTTGAACTCAAATCCGAGGATGATTTGAGGTATCATGCTAAACTCGAAAGGGTTATAGTGTGATACAACTTGGGAGCCTGATTACTTAAGATCTCTATCCAGCATAGTTTACCTAGAAACTACCTAAACCGCAACTTATCCCAAAACCTACCTTAACCCTTGTTGCTAAACCGCTTAAAACCCTAAGTTGGTTTGAATATGATGATGTGTTTATGATTCATGTTTGTTTATGATGTAACGAATTATGATTCATCGGTTATACATGAATGTCGTGGTTAGATGCTATGCAAAAGTTTATCAAAATCCGTGACACTAGAATTCTTTCGTTAGTTCATTGTTCACTCGTTTAAACCGATCATGATGGTAAATGTTCAAACATTTTTGCATCCACAAAAAAATCATCATTCATACGCACAATCGTACCATTTAACACGGCTATCTTACATTCATCTCATTTAGCATGACTATCGTTCACTCATCTCAGTTAGCAACATGTCACAATTTAACCATGATAAGTCAAGGATTCTCTAAAGTTGCTCATTCACAAGGATAAAGTCAACCTTTGAGTACAAGTTCCAAGGTTGTGCTCGTTACGGAGTTCATTCTAGAAGCAATTTGATGACACCAAAAGAAGGTCAACCATATATGAAGAAATGAAATGACAAGTTGCCATGTTCACGAGAAGTTTGTCAAAATTCAAAGAATAAGCCAATTGTCCAAACTTCAACGACAACCCACGATAAGTTTGTCGAAAACTCAAAGAAGAAGCCAATTGTCCATACATCGACAATGACCCATTGACCACTCATGGGTATTAGTTGGCACGCTGCAAGACGAAGCTCTATTAAATAATGATGTCAATCCTCAGGAGCAAATGAGCATGAATGCGTATTATCTTATGTATCAAACAATCTCCTTCATACTAAAGAATAAATAGTTATTTGCATTTCCAGCTATTTGGAATATTGTGTGATTGCTACCAATCTTGATTTAGATGTTTGCATCAATGGTCCTTCTCTTTTCAAAATGAGGAGCATGTTTTCCAAAAACTTCAAGATTACCTTGTTTTCTCTAAAATGAGAACCATAAAAATGCATTTCATGTTTTCAAGTAAAGCCATGAGATTTTCATATTAAGCAACCATAAGCACCCCACTGGTGCTGAGTGTTTATAAACACTGTACTGGTGTCCAGAATTTGAGCCACCCACTTATGTTGAGAGTATGCACACTTTGCTAGAGTTGAGAGAATAACACCCCACTGGTGTCCACAAATTATGTGAGCTAAATAGTCAAAGGGTGCAACGAGGATATGAGACTAGGCTACTTGTAGAATCTTGTCACTATCCATAACCGATATAGGTTGTGTATTTCGAATTATGGCCTACAAGAAGCGTGATGCCGACATTATAAAAGCCAAGTTCTGACAAAACCCTCATCGGGGCACGCATAGAATCCACATCATCTGTTGAGGCTAAAGAGAAAAATGTCTCATTGCCATCCAATGTTTACACGCATAAATCTAACCTGAGAGGAGGCATTTAACCTGACGTCATGAGTATCACTTCCTCAAGAAAGGGATAGCCAGTAGCCCATACGACAAGAAAAAATCACTCACGTCGGCAAATTTTTAACATTTTGATGCTCAAGTCAAAATGACAGCATCAGCATGTATGGGGCATAACAACATTAATTAAGTCCCACAAAAATTAAAAGGAAAAAAGAAGCCAAAATGGCAAAAAAAAAAAAAAAAATTCAAAACAAAGAAAAAGAAAAATTGTGGGACTTACATATTAGATGCCCATACACGAGCGCTTGAAGCTACAATCACTCAAACTCGTCGCAAACGACCGACTACCTTTGCAAAGAGGCAAAAAAGGCGATCCCAAGTTTAATGTCGATATGGTCACAAGAGTTCAATATTGGACAAATATCTCAATCAGGATATACTCAAGCGGAGCTAGCCATCAAGTTAACCAGCTTTCCAGATCAAAGAATGCTTGCCTCTCAAGCATGAGGAAATAGCGCAAAGAATCCGTAATGAGAAGGGTTCGTAAGATGAGAATATCAGCATACGCTTAAATTACACCCCCATGATGATCCCTATTATCCAATTCTTTCTAGTAAAAGAAGAACCCCCATGATAATAAGACTTGGCAATCGCCACATAAAGGCCTTCAACACTCATCATTCTGAGAGCCAATGAGAATTCGAAGCATGTATCGTACCAAGACCTCTTTTATCCATCCTTTCAAGTGAAAATAAGGACCTCAGAAAATGAGAAGATTTCTGCTCAAATTACCTCAATTACTTAATCGAGCTTACCTCCCAAAACCAAATTTCTAGACAATGGGGCAACTTGAGTGAAGAAATGTCCACACAAAGATACCCAAGATAGCCACCATTCGCAAGGAAAATGAGATATCCTCAATAAAGATCTCATATATCGATCAGCCAGCTTCATACTTTGGGGGCAAGTCAGAATCCCTCAGCAGGAAACTTTAGAAAATGAAGGATGTGAGACTCATTTATCCATCATTTATTCGAGAAGTTCAGCTTCCCAAAACATAAGGACTCCTACGTACAAGAGCCTCCTTCCATGAAAGTTCTAGAAATCACATGACGGGGCTATATTGAGGTCACCTGAACTCTCCATGATCAACAATCCTATACCTCAAGCACATTTGTCCCCCAACATGGTGACAAGAATCTTGATAGTAGCTGAAGTATCGTAAACTCGACGCACCCATAGGATTGAGTGAGAGTGAAACTGAGAGTGAGAATGAGAACGAGGGCTTATGAATATTCTCATGGCTTGGCTTATGAAAAAAACTTTTAAACAATGTGGCAATAACCACACAAGAAATCTTTTTCTCATGTTTGCACACACTTTTCCTCAAGTGAGGCTTTGATTTCTAAAATTGAGTTCCCATTATACTTTTTCAAAATGAGATTTTTCAAACATTGTTTGCAATCTTCTTAAGTCAAGATTGGTAAAAGTTGCACCTTTGTTCCGAAGAACAGAAGGCAAAGAACATATTCTCAAGGGCAAGATAGTGCCACTGAAAAGTGGTTATCCAAACCCCTCAAATCATGATTAGACGGGAAACCTCATTGATCTTGAATCATTTGTTCCAGCTACCCAATCTGTCAATCAAACTATCCTTCAACTAAATTTTTTTTACCTCATACCTCTCGGCGAAATCAATCAAGCATGTCTAGAAACCGACATCAACAAGACAATACCCCGAGATGAAAATTCCTCTTAGCCAAGCATGACATACTCGCATAGCAAGAATATCAATCATACTAAAAGAGCACGTTATCCAAGGCCACCATGCTACAATGCCTCCTACAAAATCAACCTACCAGTAAGAAGATTGTATGGCTAAGACATCAGCCACTCAAGCACCGAGGTCCAAGGTGGAGAAAGCAGAGGACCAACCTTTTATTAGTCCCCAAAATGGCATGCATTGGGCTCATTGAGGAGACAAAGAGGAAACACTATATGGCAAGCCCAATACCTCGAGATGATGACTCACACTCGAAGGAAGAAAGTACCTACCGGAGACACCCATGCTGCTCCAGCGCGAGCACAACCAAGGAGAAAGTTCACTAAAAGAATGACGTAGTTCCTTGTGGATGATCGGTTTAAGAGAATCCATGAAAAAATATCAAGACCATGATTAGGGATTATGCTCTTCCCTTTGCATACCCTTCAAGATATCATCATAGAACCTTTTTCAAATGCACTTTACATACATCATACAACATCATTCTCAAATGCACTTCAAACTAATCATATGACATCATTAGATAGCTAATCTCAAGA